GCTAGTAGCCTTATATATAGTTTACTTAAAGTCTTACTTTAATTACTATTATTTCTAGTAGTTACTTTATACTTTAATATAAAGTTATAACTATTTATTAAAAGTATTTAAGGTTTTCTTTATATATAGTTCATCCTTTTTATCTTATATAGCGTCCTATATCTAGATTAGTCTAATAATAAGTTATTAGTTTTATATCTTAAAGTCCTTAACTTTTTAGGTTTATTACTTTTTAGCTACTATAATAGTTTTAGTAACTTCTTATAAGTGTTTTCTTTAAGCGTCTTTAATTATCTAAGGTCTTTTTAAGTATATATTTATTATTTTAGCTTTTTCTTTATAAGTTCTATTTTCTTAATATTACGAGTATTAGGTTGCTAAGTTTTTTATTATTTATGAGCCTTTATAAGTCTTATCTTAAGGATTTAGATTTAGCTATCTATAGCTTACTTTCTCTTATTAGTATGTTAGAAAGAAATTACTACAGCCTATTAGTTAAGTTACTAAATATCTATAGGTTTAGTAGCCTAGGTTATAGCGTTAGTGCTATCTTTTAAGGTGCTATTATTTAGTCCTCTTATTATAGTTTCTATTATTTCTTTTACCTTAATCTAGTTATAGAATTCTTTTATATTAATTATTATAAACTATTTCTATTAGGCTACCTTAGTAGTGTCCTTAGATTTTCTTAAGTACTATCCTACTTATTTCTTACTATCCCTATAGGTAAGGTAGTTATTATTATAGTAGGTAGTCTATAAGAGTTATTTATAAGGAGTCTCCTTTTAAGCTATACTAGCTTTTTATATATACTTAAGTAGGTTCTTATTTTATAGCCTCTTAAGCTATTTATAGTCTTATATAAAGTGTCTTATCTTTTTATAATTATAGTACTTAACTATATTAGTGTCTTTTACTAGTTACTAATTTTATTTTTTAATAATACTAATATCTATAAGTCTTATATATTATTTATAAGTAGTACTTAAATAACTATTATATAATTACTACTAGTAGTTTTATTTTTTATTTTACTAGTATAGCTATTTAGGTCCTTAGGTGTACTTTTTACTTATATTAGCACTAGGCTATTAGGTTTCTTTTTATTTCTTATATTACTTAAAAAGTTATATATTAATTTTAATAGTAAGTTTAATATAAAATAAAAAGTCCTTAAGTAAGTTAATAATCTTAATAAGTTTATTCTTAACGTTATTCTTAAGTCCTTAGTAAAAAGAAGAAATTAGTAATTCTTAAGTAATATTAAGTTAAGTAGCTAATTATTAGAATTTAGCTATATAATAAAATACTAACTTAGTTTATTATAGGCTAGCTAGGCCCTACTTAGCCTATTACTTCTTATTAAGATCTTAAAATAGTAACTATAAAGCCTTTATAAAGCTAGTTATATTTCTAAAGATATTTTATATCTTATAAAAGTATATAGTAAGGTTACTATTATACTTAAGATATTCTTCTAAGTAAGGTTTATACTAAGAAAGTGCTTTTCTTTATAAAAAAGTCCTTATATAAATAACTTATTTAGTCTTACTTCTAAAGTTAGTAGTATAAAAGGTCTAATAAGTATAAACTTAAATTAGAAATCTTTTTAACTATTTACTAGTCTTATTATAGGTTCTATATAAGTTAAGTTTAAGTTTATTATATTTATTAACTAAAGTAGTAATAATATTTATACTACCTCTAAAGGTAGTTACTTTTTTATTTAGTTTTTTAGCTTTAGTTATTTTGTTTTTTAGCTAAGTAATAGTATTATAGACTATATTCTATAGCTAGCTAACTTTAAGGGTTTTAGTATTTAGTTTTTTACTAATTTTATTAATTATAGCTTATATTTAAGCTATATTATTATTATTATATTTTATATACTACTAGATCTTATTATATATACCTTAAGTAAAGTCTAGCTTATTATCTAACTTTTTAGTGTCTTTTATTTCCTTATTTAGGCTTCTAGCTAAGGTAGTTAGGTTCTTTCTAAAGCTAGAAGAAATTAAGCTTATCTTAAGTATAAATATTATAAAATACTATTAGGTAAGTATTAAGGTTTACTTACTTAATAAAAGTAATTAAAGTATTATAGCTAGTTTCTAGATAGTAAGGTTTCTACTAATAGTAAGTAAAGATTAGTACTTAGTTAATAGTATTTATTTTTCTTATTATCTTATTAATTACCTAGTAATTTATTAAGACTTAAGGTTATAAAGTAGCTTATATAGCTTCTTATTAATTAAATTACTAAGGTTAGATACTAAAAGGTATCTAAAAATATATTATAAGTTAATTACTAAAAATCTATAGGAGTCTATCCTTAAGTGTGTCTAAGTCTATCCTATATATAAGTTATAACTATTCCTTAAATAGTTCGTTTAACTAATAGTTATAAAGTAAAATAAGTACTTACTTAGGTATATACTAAGCGCTTATCCTACTTATAAATAAGCGCCTATTTTTTATCTTATCTTATGCTTATAGTTATATAACTTATACTATAGTTCTTTTGTTCTAAGAAGTTATATGTCTGTTTCCTTATTTCTTATCTATATAAATACTACTACTGCCTACTATCTGTCTGTTAGGTAGGGTAATATAGCCTATAACTTATTAGGTTATAATATAAAGTAGTAGAGTAAGATAAGTAATAATAAAGAGCTAAATAAATAATATAAAATAAGATAAGTAATAGATAAGAGGTCTATTTATAGTTAACCTTTTCTTTATAAAAGTTTATTTACTAAAGGGATATATACCTAGGGTATATATAACGTATTACGTGTGCGTTAGGTATTTAGTCCCTACTATCTGTCTGTCTCTTAACTATAGGCACTTACTACCTTATCCTATAACAAAGACGCTACTATACCCTTCTTATTAGCCTCTTAATAAATAGCCTAATAAGGGTAAAAACACTAAAGGTTAACTAATAATAGCCTATTAATAATAAATAAATACCTAGTAGTACTGACTAAAAATAACTTATAGACTTTAATAATTTAAAAAGCTTATAATTAAAAGTTATTTATAGATCTTGAAAGAAAAGAAATAAATAAGATTATTAAAGAAAGATATTACTAGCCTAGAATAACTATAAATATTAAGTAATATATATATAATTACTATATATATTACTATATATATAATCTATATAATAAACCTTTAGAGGAACTAAAGCTATTACTTATTTTATACTGCTTATAGTAATATACTACTATAGTCTTTATAGCCTGCTTAAAAGACAAGAAGAAATATAGTAATATATAGGTTATAGTAGACTACTTTAAGAAGTAAGTAGTATTAATACCTTCTTATAAGACTACTATAGTAAGAGATTTATCCTACCTCTTAGGGCTAGGGTTAGGGTTATTAGCTCTTAACTCTTATAAGAAATACCTTTCTTACATAAAACCTAGTTAAATTTCTAGATTTAGTTGTTAATAATTTTTTATTTTAGATTATTAGATATTCTTTAATTAAGAAACTAAAAGGTGGTATAATTATGCTTTCAAGAGGTTATACTATTTAAAAAAGAAATTTATATACGTTTTTAATTATTTAATAAGTCAAAAAAAAAGAAACTTAAGAAAAAGAGTTAAAGCACGTTATGTTAGAAATCTAAAGCCTAGATGACTTATTACTTTTCTTTTTAAATAATAAAAGAAAAGTAGTTAACAAAGTAGGTATAACTATACATAAGTAAAAAACCTTTTTTAATACCTATTATTCTTTACTTTATTATATTTTTCTTAATAGTACCTTTTGTTAACAAATAATTAGTTTATTCTTCTTTTATTAACTTATCTTTAGGATTAACTATAGATATATAAAGCTACTTATAAGATATCTTATAGCTAGAGTGGTATATTATAAAGCTAGAATAGCTTTATATAGCTAGTACTAGCTAATATTACCAGATATATAGCATGCTACCTATACAGACTATATAAAATGGGTATTTCTACTACTTCTTTAGCTTATAAGTAGATTCTTAATAGGACAACTACTTTACTCTTAAATGACCAGATGCTGCGGTTCATTACACGTACTTTAACAAATACTAGACTAAGGATGGATAGCAGTACTGTATGTATAAGTAAATCTATTATCCGCTTCGCTTTACCTGCATTTTAACCTCTGAAGTGCATCTGTCAGAATCCAAGCCTCGCTTTCTGCAGCACGCTAGCTCTTTCTGGCAGCAACCTTGCTTATTGCCGATGGCGCAAAGCAATGCCAATAATGCAGTGCGGTGTTCATCTGGGAAGCAGGCCTACCCCTGGATGAGGGTGTAGACCCGCCGTCTCCTGACTGACAGTCGTCTGAAGTTTACAAGTCCTTGTTACAGGAGGCGAGGTTTCCCTGAAGCCTCGACCATTCATAGCGAGCTTGATCTTTGCAGAGATTTAGGCACAAACCCCATATTTTACACATAACAATAGCTGTGGTGTTCAAATGTCGTTTTGAGTGTGCTAAGAAATACTGCAGTTGCGATTGTATACTCCCTGGAATATTACGGCGAATGAGCAACACCGACGTAGACGCCGGGTTTTGAGTGTCATCTGCACTACCCAAAGAGTCGGTAAGCTTAAGCCGATCATCAATATCTGATGGACATATATAGCAGGCTTCTGTTTGAGGCCGTCGTATACCTACCTATGTTCAAGGGATCGCGGGAACACCGCAAGCAGACCGCTGTCTTGTTACAAGTCAGCATGGAAATGAAACTGTTTTAGGTTCGTGCAAGTATCAGAAGTCAGCTCAGCCGGCATCACTATCCGAACCTCGAGTTCACACCCTTTATAAACTGCTAAACTGCGCGCTCGTTACGTCGATCTTGGCTGACGACAAAATTACTCATCTTTCTTCATATCCGTTCGTCTCATTTGCACTTCAATCATCGATCCGTATCCGCCTGCGCGACTCTACCCATTATGCGGTTTCCACTAGTTATCAGCATGGGCTCAGCTAGCGTGCTAGCGTTGTCAATGGCACCTAGGCAGGCGCAGGCACCGGCACCGGCACCAGCAGTACCATTACGCATTATGTCCCTGGGCGCCTCAGTGTCGTTTGGGATAGGTTCAACGACCGGCGACAGCTACCGCAAAGATCTCCAAGACCTGCTCGTCGCCCAAGGCATGAATGTCACATATGTCGGGACAAAAGCAAATGGAGACTTCACCGACAACGCAGTCGAGGCAACTCCGGGATTCAAGATCGACCAAATCGCTGCAGCGGCAGACGAAGCGGTGCCTCTGCTCCAACCGAACCTTGTACTTGTCGATGCTGGCACCAATAATTGCAACAAAGGCGGCATAATACCCGACGCAGGCGCGAATGTCACTGCCATGATAAACAATATCTTTGCACAAAGTCCAGGATCGACTGTAATACTCACATCGATACTTGCTAACAAGATTGCTGCGCAAGATGCATGCCGAGTCAACATTAACGCGCAATACGCCGACGTAGCGACGCAATTCCAACAGTCTGGCGCCAAGTTCGCGCTTGTAGACATGCGAAGCCCCGCTGCGCCGGGTCTAAACGATCTTAATGATACAAGACACCCGAATGACGGCGGCTACGTTAAGATGGCAAACGTGTGGGCCACAGGGATTCAGGAAGTGATTTCCCAGGGTTTCATCACAGCACCTAATTAACGATGCTGTCTGAAAGTCGTCGATTAAGTTAGCATCATTTGTTTAGAGCATCACGGAAGATATTCAATTCACTACACAAAACTTCGTAACAACTGGGCATTCGTGCATGCTAATTTTGCAATGAACAATGGCTATTGACAGTCTGGAATTGATGCCTAGCCTATTCTGCACACATCCGCTCGACAGCGAATACTAGTCATATTAGCATGATATATTTTCACCTAAAGTAGCATTTCTTCTAAGTATGCATGGAATCAGCCCTTGGTGACGCTCTGGCAGTCTGAAAAGCTGCCTAATATTCGTTTTTTTACTTGAGATTACACGAAATCATCAATTCGAATATTAGAGGGACTTCATTCCCCTCTTAGAGAGCATTGTTCCCTTTGCATCTTAGCTTGTGCTCCTCGCCTAGGAGGAGATACAAGTTGAATTACATCAACTTTCGAGAACATGCTGCGTCTATTAATTCCTGGAAATTTGCATGTATAATCGGGTGGAGCAAAGTAACTTAAAGAAGCTGCTGCCTCTTGACACCATTTTCCACAGACGAATGACGGCACAAGGAGGTAAGTAGCACACGATTCAGCACAAGAAGCCTTGTTTTCATGCCCCATGGAAAAAATTAGGTGCTGGAGTTAACGTTGGTTTCCCAGTTTTGCTGGATGGTCACTTAAAGGTGCAGGATGTTCTCTCGGCCTAAAGTGGATCTTCCTTCAAACGAAGTCAATGCCTTCCTCTGATGTTTCACGGGCTTTGCCGACAAGGCCACATTAGTCATTGTGATCAAGGTTTGTAATGCTGTACTTAATTGCATCCGATCCGGCTTCATACGTGCCCTTTTTCTCTCACAAGAAGCGTTTGGCTACAGCATCTCATAATCATGAAAGCAATCTAATTACCGTTAGACACATCCTGTTAAATTTCAACTGATAATGGCCTTGGCAATGAACTAGCAGGAGTTGAGATGAACCTTGAATGATTGGGATGAAACTCTGAAAAGAAAATATGAAGATAGGAATTGACAATACGTTCATCCCGAAGTAAGACGCCAATATAAAGGCAAGCTCATACAGTAAGATGGAATTGCATGCGCAGACATATGGTGGCCATGTGTGCATTTGAATGAGCCAGTATTACACACACATACACACGCACATGCACACACGAGAGAGGGATAAAAGGCATATCGGTAGTAAAGTAATATGTAAGTCAAGCCCTGACGTAGTGCTGAAGGCCATGGTAGCAACCTTCTCGACTGAGGGGGGGGGGAGGTAATCAGTATGGTTCCGATATCGCATCAGTTGAACCTTGGGCACCATCTTGGTAGGGTTCTCAATTGGTTCCCGACGGAACAGTCTCGAACAATGAGGTGTAACCATCGCGCCATTTCGGCAGATTCACCCATTTCATAGAGCAAATTCAATGGAGACGAGAATTCCCCGGAGAAACAAACCCCAAAACCCACACACCCAACCTTGTTTTACATAGCAACGGGAAGTCTCCGGTGCGGAGAGTGCGGGGTATTATTATCCTTGCATTACGCCATTAACCCCACAGGATCGCAGGAGGTCTTCTTCCACGATGGCAATTGGCTTGTAGTCAATTACGAAGCAAACTTCACTACCAATGTCGTGATTGCCTGATAAAAGTTGCTAACAGATCGTATTTCCGGACTAATGTTGAATTAATGAACCCACTAACTTGCCTGCTTTATCCCTGCAGTGGACACATGACATGGCCCATTAATCAAGGCCCATCTCGGACTCTGCTTTGCTGGCAATGTGAAAACCCACTGAATCGTGTTGTCCGATGGTCTCATAAGAGGCGGTATCTGCTCAACCCTCGCGTTGGCCGTTACTCGTCAGGAATTTCACAAGGCCGCTTCAGTGGTGCCTTGACATGATTTACGTACATTTCTGCCGCCCAAGGCCTGTATCACAATGAAGACGAAATCAATCCTCAATATCGCGCTTGCTAGCGTTGTTGTGTTGGCGAAAACAAATGGCTCCGCTCCATCCGAGGTGCCCTATTACGGGCGCAGTCCACCTGTTTACCCACCTCGTATGTTTCATGTTTCATGTTCCATGATATCAGGCATGAACCTCGGGGACTGATTTCCAAGCAGCAATTGGCAATGGCTCCAGCGATGCGGGATGGGCCGCCGCATATCGCATTTCGAGATCACTAGTGTCTCAGATGACTGTCGAGGAGAAAGCCAACATTACTCGAGGATGGAGCGGAACCTGTGTTGGTAATTCTGGTGAAGTGACTCGACTGGGTATCCCAGCCCTTTGTTTTGCCGACGCGCCCGATGGAATTCGTGGACAAGAGTTCGTCTCTGCCTTCCCGGCAGGAATCCATGTCGCTGCTACGTTTGATAAGGCTCTTCTTTACAAGTACGGGAAGGCACTTGGCGATGAGTATTACGGCAAAGGGATCAATGTAGCCTTGGCTCCTGTTGCCGGCCCTCTTGGCAGGGTTGCTCGCGGCGGTCGAAACTGGGAAGGGCTTTCTTCCGATCCATACTTGGCAGGTGTCGGCATGGGCGCTATTACACGCGGTATTCAAGACGCTGGAGTTATAGCAACACCCAAGCACTGGCTCTTGAATGAGCAGGAATACCGTCGCCTTGCCTCGGATCTGGGAGAATCCATCAGTTCAAATGTTGACGACCGCACAATTCATGAGCTATACGCTTGGCCGTTCATGGATTCACTCAGGGAGGGTGCCGCCGCCGTCATGTGTTCGTATCAGAGAGCCAATCACTCATATGGGTGTCAAAACTCCAAGCTCCTTAACGGCATTCTAAAGACGGAACTTGGATTCGAAGGGTTCGTGGTCAGCGACTGGCAAGCCCAGACGAGCGGTGTTGCATCGGCCAATGCCGGCCTTGATTTGGTCATGCCTGACGCTGGGTTTTGGGGAGACAAGCTCATCGAAGCAGTCAACAACGGTTCGGTCAGCGAAAGTCGGCTCTCCGACATGGCAACAAGAATTCTGGCGAGTTACCATTATCTTCATCAGCAGCACGCATTTCCTCAGCCTTCTATCCATTCGAATCTACAGAAAACCTTGGCTGTCGATGTTCAAGATGACCACGCGGCTTTGATTCGCCAGATTGGAGCGGCTGGCACTGTCCTTGTCAAGAACGTCAACGGCGCCCTTCCTTTCAAACGCCCCAAGTTCCTCTCGATCTACGGATACGATGCAACTGTCAAGGCAACACCTTGGCAGAATCCTTCTCGGTATGGCGGCGGCTATGAAGTCAACTTCGACTGGGAAACATTCAATGGAACTCTCGTCACCGGAGGTGGTTCTGGTGGAAGCACTCCTCCCTACGTGGTTTCTCCCTTCCAGGCGATTCAAGAGAGGATATCCAAGGATCGAGGAATTCTTCGATGGGACTTCTACTCCGAGAACCCCTCTCCACCTTATGTCAACAGTGAAGCTTGTCTTGTTTTTATTAACGCCTACGCTTCCGAAAGCTTTGACCGGTTGAGCTTGACAGATGAGTTTAGTGATAACCTCGTCCAAAACGTCGCTACGATGTGCTCAAACACGGTGGTGATTATTCATTCTGCAGGTAGGTGTACCGCTGATAACCGCATCCGCATTGTGTATTCGACACTAACAGAAGCTAGGAATACGAACCGTTGACGCGTGGATTGAGCATCCCAACATCACTGCCGTCCTTTTCGCCGGGCTTCCCGGTCAAGAGAGTGGCCATAGTCTCGTTGATGTTCTTTGGGGCGACGTGAACCCTTCAGGAAAGTTGCCATACACGGTGGCGAAGCGCGAATCAGACTACGGCAGCCAATTGAACTCCAGCGCTTCGGATGAGTTCTTTCCAGACAGTGAATTTACTGAAGGACTTTACATCGACTACCGTTACTTCGATGCGCAGAACATTACTCCTCGATATGAATTCGGTTATGGTCTTTCCTATACCACCTTTAGCTTTACTGATTTATCAGTGGGCTTGATATTCAATGCCGACACCTTGGAGTATCCTGACGCCAACATTACCATTGTGCAGGGTGGTCATCCATCACTATGGGAGGCTGTCGCCGTCGCTGAAATCTCTGTCACTAATACAGGTGGTGTGGAAGGGGCGGAAGTTGCCCAACTCTATGTTGGCGTTCCAGGTGATGACACTCCCATCAAACAGCTTCGTGGCTTCAAGCGCCTGTTTTTGAATACCGGGCAGACAGGCCGCGTAGCCTTTGAGTTGACTCGACGAGACCTTAGTATCTGGGATGTTGAAGCACAACAGTGGCGCTTGCGAAGAGGAGCTTACACTGTCTGGGCTGGATCATCAAGCAAAGATCTATCTCTTCAAGGAAGTTTTGAGATTAACTGATCTTTCCCAAAAGAGAAACATAGAGATAGAGCAGGAAGGGGGGGGGGATATAATTCTTCAAAAGGTTAAGTAATAATTAATCTATATATGTAAAGCTTTGAAAAGCCGATAGTAAGATGGAAGATCTAGTTAAAAATACTTTTTGATTCAACGATTCTGTAAATAACAGCACCTAAGCATAAATCTTGATATAGTTTTAGACATTTTCTTGGTTTTCCTGTCTTTACAAGGGAAGACAATACGTCGAGAGGACGGTGAAACAGGTACCACAGTGCTACATTCCGCCTAACTGAACCCTGCGAGCACTTCACTCAGTGCCGACTCGCACTGCTACAGGGGTCGCACAAAATCCCCCAAACTAGCCGTAGTAAAGCTACGACATAGACCGGGGGTAAGACCCCACCCTATAACTCGGCCCACCCCCAAAGTCAGGCCACGCAAAACTACACCAAATTCTAGCTAAATTTACACTAAATTTATAGATTTAGCAATTTTTTAAAAATTAGATACAAGTCTAAAAGAGATAGAAGTTTAAATAAAGTTTATTTTATAGTTAATATATAGTATTTAGATTCTATATTAATTATATATATAGATTTACTTATTTTACTTTATTAACTTTTATAGATAAAGGCTTTTATCTAAGTAGCTATAAAGAGCTAAAAAGAATTATAGTAGATTTAACTTACTATATATTAGTCTTATTAAAAACTACTATCTTACTTCTAGTCTTTTTTATCTTAGAGCTAAGATAGAAGAAAATAGTTAAGTTAACACACTTGTCTCTTATTACTTCCTTATCTAGGGGTAGCCTAACTTTTAGGGTAGCCTAAGTTATAGAAGTCTACAGACAAGCTAATAATACCCCCCCCTAATAACCTAAGAGTACTATATATAATAACTAATAGGGGCCTATATATAGTTAAGCTAATAGTAAAGTAAGTAATAAGGCTCTAACTAATAAATATATATATATATTATAAAGGTCTATATTATAGTAGTAATACTATATTAGTTAGGTATATAACTATATTTCTTATTATAAGAATTTAAAAGTAAAAAGGAAAAGAATTTATACTAGGGGGCTAGTAGTCCTACTAGCTATTATATAGCTATTTATTCTACTTATAAATTACCTAATAGTTCTTATAACTAGAGGTTCTAGTTCTCTTGCCCTTTAGTAGATCCTTTAGTGCTATAGGGCTTACTAGCTACTAAGGTATAGGTACACTAACTACTAAGGCTTAGGGCCTTAGCTACTAAGGTGTAGGGCATAGACCACTATAGCTATAGCGCACTTACTACTAAGGCATAGGGCACACTAGCTACTAAACTACACTATAACTATATTCCTGTCTGTGTATCCCCCACGTGACCCCTCTAGCTGTAACATCTATAGGTCTAAAAAAAACAAGAATTTTTATTCTTCTTGCTTTATATAGTCTAGTAGTAAGTAGTGCTCCTAATAATCTAAAGGCTATAGGTTTAATCCTAGCTTTTTCTAACTTTTTCTTTAGGTAATTCTAAAACGGCTCTGCTGGGGAGGGTTAGAATGGTCTATCCTACCCTGCTTCCTCTACTACGCTCCAGGTCAGGATAGGCCAAGACTATCCCTTTTTTCCCTCTGTTTCTTCCCTCTGTTTTTCCCCTCTATTTATACCCTTATCTATTGGCTATAACTGTATCTATTGTTGTTGTTGTTGTTGTTGTTGTTGTTGTTGTATTTAACGTCTGTGGCGTTCCTGAAAAGGACAAAGGACGCCTAGGGTAGCTAGCTTACATAAGCCCACTGTGCCTAGGAGCTTTAAACTAGTGATACAGTCGGTGCCAGAAAGTGCTTAAATGGCTCGATTAGCTTGTTCCTTCCTTCTGGATATCCTTTGTAATAGACAGGAGCCTATTAATCCAAGATATCCTCCACCCGGCCGGATTCCCACCCCTTCCTAATAAGTACTAACAAGTATCCGTAATACGGCACTAATTGCTTTAGTTTCTCCTTATTCTAGGGCTACCTTAGGGAAAACCACAGAGGGAGAAAAACCTAGGGCAGCCGGTTGCAGCTGCACGGGGCTGCATAAAGTGTGTGTCGTTTGCATTGGCTTGAACTCTCCAGAAGTAGCCTTTGCCTGGTCGCTCGATGTGGTGTGCATCTAATTGATGTTATGTTGTGTTATAGAGGAAAGGGGTCCTAAAGTGGTGGTGTTAAGGACAGATGCGTCAAGAGATTTCGGAAATGTGCGCCCTGTTAGGGGGACAGGGCGCCTTCCATACGTTTTTCTAACAGAGGGTCCGTGCACCCATGGGTTGAAAAATAAATAGAAGGGAGAGTTGACTGTATCTATTGTCAGCTTAAGCCTGCACAGGCCAGCGCGCACGGTACTCTCGGGTTGTCAAGGGGGGGGCATTATTAGCTTGTCTGATCGCTCGAGTTATAGGGTGGGGTCTTAGATGCGCCTTGCGAACCTAGTCTGGGGAGCCATTTGGCCTAAACAGGACAGAAGAAACCGTAACAGAAACACTCAAGGAGAGGCTAAGGATTGCAGCAGGATGCAAATCGACTGTGACAGCAGGCGAACATGTATTTAGTTGCAGTCAGTAGTCCGCTTGAGCGCCCTTTGCCCTTGACAGGGACGTCCAGGCGTTAAATATTCCAACAAACAAACAAACAAACAATGCGTTGAGAGGTACATATTTACGAAAGTTGTGCGCAATGATCCAAAAACGGACTATAAGTAATATTCACGTAGTGGAACTAAAAGATACATTGAATATTACTGACAGGATTTGGGAAGCCAGGCTGGACCGATAACCTTAACCTTCTATCGGTTTTCCTTCTATTCTGTAGACAGACACTGGTAGTAGTGCGTTGGAGCAATGGAAGAAATACCTTTCAGATGTCTTCAGTACGGTTTGTGACGACCTTGTAGATATCATGTAATGTTTCTGTTGTGAGGAATTAGCGTGCGTAATGTATAATACTCCGGGTCAGGTTAGAGCCTGCATAATATTTGGCACTATCTCTCTCTTACTCACATGGCGGCTTAGTTTCACACCGCCACTTCTCTGTTCTCTGTTAGCAGTGTCGACGCACCAGCCAGTCACCTACATAATACATGCTGGCATGTTTTGGTCCATTAGCGTCTCTTGCCTCGGTATATTGCTGACTAAGTGGGTAAGGCACATAGATAATAGCCCCTCAACGAAGTATTTTCGTCTTCAATTCCCCTCCCGTCAGCAATCAATCCACTTGGATCATTGTCAATCTTAACTATCTACAGCGTACTTCATCGCAATCTCACCATGGCACTATCAACTTCACAGATCGATATTGACGCCAAGACAATATATGATTACCATCGTATGGGGATGTCTCTCAGTCCCGCAACAGCCATATTCTGTCTGTGTAGTCTCGACAAACGTGTCGCGGTTCGTGCCGCACAGTTGTCTCTTGACGGGTACGGGGAGTACCTCATCTACTCAGGTGGAGTCGGCAAGTTAACAGCAGGTCGATTTACCAAGCCTGAAGCTGAGGTCTTCGCGGACATTGCGAGGCAATTGGGTGTGCCAGACGACAAGATCATTGTGGAGCCGCGATCTGGCAACACGGGCGAAAATGTTCGCTTCACACATGCCCTTCTAAAACACCGGGGGTTGAGTATGAAGAGCTTCGTGCTTGTACAGAAGCCTTATATGGAAAGACGGACCTATGCTACGTTTCTGAAGCAATGGCCTGATACGGCTACGGAGTTTACAGTAACGAGCCCAAAGCTGGAATTTGAACAATACCCAGATACGGAGAACCCGAAGGAGCTGGTCGTCAATATCATGGTTGGAGATTTAATAAGAATCCGAGAATATCCGAAGAAGGGCTTCCAAATCGAACAGGAGATTCCCGAAGATGTATGGGAGGCCAACCAGCGTCTCATTGCAGCCGGATTCGACGGTCATCTGCCTTGATAGATGATCAAAGTCTTCGGGCCACGGACTAATACAGCTTTGCCAATTCGACCTGAGCTCTCTTTTTCTGATTCATGTGGACTAAATATCAAGCCCTGCATATGCACCCTGCCCAATGTTGAATATTATATTCCAAACAGACCAATTCCGACGTTCATTCCTTATCAGGGGTTGCAAAGTCCTTCCTCGCCTTCTGGGCAATTGCACCATTGGTAAGCACTCTGACAGCGAGCATTGCCATTCCCTTAGCGCATTTGATGGCTGCGGTGTGTGCCTCGTCAGTCGCTGCTGCCGCTGCAAATTTGGGATTATGGCCTGCTACGTCTGGTGATGTTGGAATAACAAACGCGCCGTGGAAACTAGGCACGAGGTGAGAAACATTGCCCATGTCAGTTGAGGCATTGAAAGGTTTGTCCTGATGAATCCGAATTGTCTCTCCAATAGCTGCCATGTCCTCGACGTAAGTTTTGCAGAGTGTGTCGTTGGCGCGCAAATTCATGTACGTGGGCGACCTAGTTGGTATCGTCAGTTGAATCGAGATTGAGATACTGGGTCTGCGGACACTCACACAATATAGTTGATATCGCAGCCAGTCGCTGCTGCACCTGCCTCCAGACACGCCTTGACTCTAATCAGAAGGGCGTCTGCGCGATCGATGGTCGGGCTGCGGACGTTCCAGTTCATACGGGTATAATCCGTGATGACGTTCGGGACGGTGCCTCCAACCTCAATAACGCCGTGAGCCCTCTCGTCTGATTGGATCTGCTGCCTTAAGAGTGCAACGTTATTGTAGGCTGCTACAGCTGCATCCAGTGCGTTCAAACCTTTCCAAGGCTCACCAGCTGCGTGGGCTGGCCTCCCGCGAAACTCGACTGTCGGGATATTCAACTGTTCAATGGTGGAGCCGATCCATGGTCACGTGATTTACCATCACGTGACTCACCCTGGCGGCTTACTTACACCACTATAAATACCCACAGCAGCAACCTCTTCTCTTTTCTTTTCTTATTATCTTTACCTAGCTACTAATAGTTAATTAACACTATTATAGCTACTTTAATTATAATCCTTATAATACTAACACTAATTAGTAGTTAACTTTATAGTTACTACTAAGGCAAAGCACCCACTTTTCGGCACCCCCTGCATTTCGGCACCCCAAAAATGAAGCCATCACAACCAACACCACTTTATTCAATTAACTATCAACAACCTCTTGATGCCACAATAATACAGCTTTCAGCCTCACTAGGTAATTCTAAATCGCTGGATTCATCTGGCTCATTTTCAGCATCGCCAGCCTTAATCTGCGCTTGCCGTATATCCTTAATTGTCGCAAACTTCGTATTTGGATCTATAGCAACAGCCTTCCTCTTCCTGCCACTAGTATTATTAACCTTAGCCTGGAGAAGCTCTATTTAGTGCTAGGCGATAGCCAAGTCAAAGGACTGCTGTTAGAAGCCTTTTTTAATCTTTCTAAAGAGCTAGCGTTATGTGGCGATAGTTTAATCTATCTAGCTAAATAATTGCAGTTAGTTATCTAGCTTCCTCCTCTTCCTTAGCGTAGACCACTTAACAGCAGATACCTATTCCTCATAATCCTAGGCATCTTAGCCACTATAGGCCCCTTTTGCCCCCTTATTAAATAGTGTTAATGTCTTATTAGGTAGTGTTAATAGTGCTAATATATCTAGTAATAGATAGGAGCTTATTAGAGGCTTTATAATAGTAATAGGCCATAACCTAGTGTATTTCTAGCCACTTTTAATATTACTAATAGTTATCCTAGCCTAGTAAGCCTTTTAATAACATATAATAAAGTTCCTTTTACTAATAATAGTTAAATTATTTTACTATATAAGGTATCTAAGCTCCTTATAATAAGCTGCCTTTATAAGACTAAAGACTACTTAATTAAGTAGCTAGAGGATATAAGAGGTATGTGGCAGTAAGAATAACAGATAGACGTTATTAATATAGTATAACTATATAAAATCTGTTGTTATATAGCTCCTATGCCTATCTAGGATAAGCAGTCTGGCCTAATTAGGTTAAGAAGGCTTAGTTTAAGGGAGAAAGACCCTTTCTATCTATTTAACAGCAGTAGCATTAGTAGTCCATCTATTCTCTATTACTATAAATTCCTATCCTTTATATAGGCTAAGATCTAGAGGGAACCACTACTGCTAGACTTTCTTACCCTTATATATAACTAAGGGATAAATAGGAATGCCTTTAGCAGATATACACTTAATAATAGATACCCAGGCTCGTGATCCAGGCTGCTTTTTCCTTACTAAATTCGTCTCTGCCCTGCCCAGCACCAGCCCATTATCCCCCTTGCCCTCAAGGATGCCAGTCTCATCCATGTTGTATCTGTTAGCTAGTTTAATAGCAGTAATATAAGGCATAGCGAGATATTTGAACTATTCCCTAATAACCTCAGTAGATGCCCCATTTACACGCCTTGAATCAATAGAGCGACTTCTCTGGACCTTGATAGATGGGTTTCTTCGCTTGAATCCATCTACCCATCGCTTGCCTAGAGGTTGGGTATCTCCCATGGCACTGAGGATGCGCTGGGCTAGTTCTTTGACTTGTTGATGGGTTGGTGGCAGGCCTAAGTCTGCTTGGGTAGTTATCCAGGCAGCCAGGCTGGCCTCTTGGGCTATTGAGAGCCTCTAGAGGTCTTCAAATGCAGTAGCCCTTCGCTGGGTACCATGCATACGATACTGGAGGGTAGTCCGTGGGATCCCATACTCATGAGCTGCCCTCTTGAGGCTATACCCATTTCGAACGGCTTGCAATGCCCGATTGATCTCATCTTTGGTATATTGGACCATTTGGTCATAAAGAAGGTATTCTGAAAAAATGAAGTGATTTGATAAAGGTTAGAAAATGTTGTGATAGTTTGAAATGGGGGATGTTTTTAAAAATGGGTGGCTGGGCGGCATTTTTGGGGTGCCGAAATGCAGGGGGTGCCAAAAAGTAGGTGCTTTGCCTTACTATAAATTAGTAAGGATTATTAGAAGAGGCTATAATACTTTACTTACTATAGTAGCTTAGATTAAAGTATTAAAGTGCTACCTAGCCTAAAGATTATTAGTACTTAGGATCTTATAATACCTAGTAAATAACCTTTTAAGCCTTATATTTACTATATAATAACTACTATTACTACTATTAACTTTATTACTTTTAGAGAAGTCTTTTTTTTTATATACTACTTACTTACTAATAACCTTTATAGTATTTAGTATAATTATTTTCTTTTTATACTTAAGTTTTTTTAAGTTCTTTTTTTTTTATTTTTTAACTTTTTTTTCTTCTAATTATTAAGATTTTTATCTTACTAAGTTTTTATCTTATTATAGTAGTAACAGCCTATATAAGATTATAAGTAAATAAACTCCTATAAGATCTTATTTAAATAAGATTTTACTAGTAAGACTAGCTATAAAGTAGTTAAGTAAGAACTACTTAAGTAATCTACTTTTAATATAGTATTTATAAGTAAATAGCTTTTACTAATCTTACTTTTATATACTTCTAATATTATATTATTAGCTAGGTATAGCTTATAGTAATTATAACTTTTTTTTTAACTAGATAGTTAGTAGCTAAGTGTTACTTTTAGTAAGTATACCTCTTTTTATTCTTTAAGTAAGGTAAAAAAGGTAAAAGTTACTTATATTACTTTAATTTACTTACTTTTTTTTATCCTTTAAATACCTATTAATAACTATATTATCCTTTTTACTTTTTTTTTTCTTTAAGTAAGGTATAGTTATTAGTAACTAATATAACTTTTACTTAACTTTACTATCCTAATTAATTTAAGAAGACTACTTATTATTTACCCTTAAGTAAGGTATATAACCTTAACTTTTTACCTTTTTTCTTTTAAAAATCTTTAACTATAGTATCCTACTTACTAAAAAGTAAGGTCTATATATATCTTTTTTTAGAGGTGGCATATGTCTCCTTTTGTTCTTTAAGTAAGATCTACTATAAGGCCTCCCTAGAGCTATCTCTTTATATTACTAAAGCATAAGGCCTCCTTAGAGCTATCTCTTTATATTACTAAAGCGTAAAGCCTCTCTAAAGCTATCTACTACTATCTATTTATTTATTATTTTATCTCTTTATTTACCTTATCTCTTACTTATACCTCCTTATATTATATTATTTATTTACTTATCTTATTATTATTTATACTAATAGTAGTAATTCCTTTAATATATAGATTTACCTCTAACCTTATAGGTAAGAAGTAAGTGCCTGTATTTAAGAGGTTAGTAAGGCTAATAAAAAGTAATAATAGTAGAGAAAGGACTAAGTAAAAGGTAAAGTAAACTATAGGCACTAGCTAGAGTAAAGGAGTATATTTATTTATAGGATATTAAAGATCTATATTTTATCCTAAAGCGCAGCTAGCCCTTTATTATTATATAACTATAGGGTATAACTAATTTAGCTAATATTCCTAATAGCCTTACCTAAGTTAAGTAATATAACGCCTTAAGTACTATTATTATACTTTAAATAATATAATATAGCTTTATATAGCTATATAGTTAATAGCTATAAAGATATACTACTAAAGACTTTAAAGAATAGTTACTTAATGCCTTTAAAGGTACTACTTATAAAACTATTATTAAATTTAGAGACTACTTAATATATAAAGGCGTATAGGTATTAATAGTAAAGTTACTAACTATTACTAAATAAATCTACTATACTTTTAAGGCTAATAATCTAAAGGTATAGACACTTAAGGATATTAAAAAAAAAGAAAAAAAGAGTAAGGATTTTTACTTAAAGATTAATAAACCTAACTTTATATAAGATATTATAGACCTACTACTAGAAATAATATTAATATAAGATTAACTAGGCCTCTCTTATATTATTACCCCCTTAGTATAAATTACTTAAGTCTAGAAAGGTTAATAAAGGCCTATTAATTTAGCCTTATTATATAATAACCTAAATTT